TTAATGTATTGTTGCCACGAGGGGCCATAATGACCCTACTAAGAGGGAGGGTGCGAGTCCCGACAAAAAGGTCGTTTTCTCTTGACGCACACTTACATTGGAAACTAACTAAGGGAAAAAACAGGTACACAGACCGTCCAAATAAAATTCCTTTGTGGTTAACGATGGCGACGACGACCAGAGGAAATATTATAACAACACAATATCACATCAGTGACGACGGTTAGTTTCCAGAGAAATTTAAAAACAGAACTAGGGTAATCAAGTAGGTAAATAATACAAATATTATATAACCTGGTTAATCGGATTTTACCTGACCGACAATTAAAGCGCAAATGGCAATCGTTAATGAATCATTTTTACAAAGGCTGATCACACCACCTAAAATTCAGTGGTAGGTAAACGGAATAGAATTATCGCTTGAAACCTAACCTGCCCTAACCCGAATGGTAATTTTCAATACAAAACAAATAATTTTCCCATTGAAAGTAGTCGGTGTCGTGTACCTACAAACAAGATACTAACCTACTCACCAGAAAATGTCTTGAGGTAAAGAAAAAAAAATACTCGAGTATTGTATTATCATAAAAATTGTGTCAGACAAAAAATGGTGAATATTGTAGTGGTTTAAATAAGATAATTTCAAAAAAAAAATGTTTTAACTTAAACGGCAACGTATACATTTAATTTTCTTTTAAATTTTTGAGTAATTTGCTGATAATGTCAACGAATGAAGTTATTATTTTATTTTTAAAGATTGAAACTTCTATAACTACACATTTTGAATTATTTTAAGAGAAATTGGGTTGTCTTGTCCTTAATCAACCACCCTGTATGTAAATTCTAGAACTTGATACTATTACACTTTTTTCTGTTATTTTTATCCCAAGGTTGGCATTACTGACATTTAATGTGTATTCTCATGTAACAGTCTCAAAAATGTCTTAAAAAAAAAACAATAAAAGCTTTTTAAAAATATTCTAAGAAATTTACAGTGTATCAGGGGAGGCTCATATTTTCGTATGTCTTATAGATAACGCACGTTTTGAACCAACGATATAAGGTTTTAAAAAAAAACAAAAAATCTAAGACCGATAAATTGGTACAAACCGAAAACCATCTATTATCTGTTTGAAATAAGATCAGACCTGCGTAGAAACTGAAACGCACAATTCCTAATCTTATTTTGAACAGAATATAAGATAAGCTCTCGGTCTTTGATTTTATTCATATATTATTAAAATAATATAAACTTACTCGGTTTCCCACGAAAAAGTGCATCTCCAGAAGACATCAATTTAAAAAAACACGAGACACAACCAAAAATCTGAGAAAAATATGGTCAAGAAAAAAAATGTCTACGGTATTTGCATTGTTCACGTTTGCCAAAATACTAAGATATATATATAATACATTTGTCCGTATAGAACGCGCGTCACGATTCCGAGAAACGTCAACACACCTTTTATATGATATTATTATTATTTTTCCAACGATGGCGACGGCCGATGGCCGAGGTAACCACTTTGGTATCGCCGGTAACACGACAAAAGACCACGACCGAACGGTGTGGTGGGGAGGAGGGAGATCTTCTTGGAACGGTAATTTCGAATTTTACATCATACACGGTAATTATTATAGTGCTATTGTTATTGTGTGTCAATGACAACACACGCACAATTTGATTGCAGATGAAAAATTAAAAAATTCTATTTCAAATTTTGCAATCGTTAATGGCCGCCAGTGGGGTCTCCGTCGCGTTAGTTAATAATTATCGCCGAGATTCTACGGGTCAAACCTTTTTATTATTCTACAATTAACCATAATAATATTAATAATAACAGTGCAAGAATAATAATTGTTCAAATCGAACCGTAATCGTTATTGGCAATTCAAAAAGGGTCAGTTGAAAAAAATAATTTAAACATACGCAGTAAGTACACGACGACGTTTCGACATACCGTAATAAGAAGAATAGGGTTTTAATTATTATTATTATTATTATCATCATCATCATCGACATTTGGCGGTTATTGATAAAACTATTATTGTTATTATGCCGACTAATAATATTCTACGCGACGTTGAAAAAAGGAATGCGCGGTACGCAGAAAACATACACAATGAGTAACAATGCCCCAATACACCGAAATTATTACAGTAACCCAAAACACAACACTAATGGACTGATTAATAATATTGGCAAAGCGCGTTTTGAAGAAATAAAAATAGAATTAATGTTGTTTCTTCACATTATTTGTGTATGGAAATAATTTTAGGATAAATTAAAAGATGGCGGCCCCAACCGAAAATCATTGTTTTTACATTAAATATGTCTTCTTTGATTTAATGATGTCTACTCTGCGATTTAATATTGTAAAATTACTTGTTGGGATTATTCAATATTTCAATATAAAAAAAAAAAAATTCCAAAAATTAGTCTTTTGAACTGGCTATTCGCGTTGGAGCTGCTGCCGCCGCCGCCATGTTAAGCTATGATAAGATTGGAAAAACTAATATTTTTATTTTAATATAATATTATTGTCCTTTTAAACAACAGCCGAGTACTTGTTAAAATTATCGGAAAACCATATTTCGGACACGGATATATTAATAATATTTATATACGGGAGTATTAACCACCCGTTCCGGTAACGTATCCGTTCCGACGCCATTAACTGTTATCACAAATTATTTGTTTTTTCTTCTACTCAAACAGGAAGCGTGTACAAAGACTGTCTTAGTACGTCTTAAGTTTTTTTTTTTATTATTATTAAATTTAATACGAGGAAAATAAAATTGTGCAATATCTGCAATGACGCGTCGGTAACGAGTAAATCGCTAAACGCATTAAAAAAAAAAAAATGAACAATAATAATTAAAGAGGCCAAGTGCGAAAACAATAATTTTTTTTCCCCGCCAAATTTGTCAAGTCGAAGCAAAATAATATACATCTATTTTTCGAACACACACACACGATTATCCGTTTTTTATTATATAGAAATCCTCAGTAGGAGAGTTCAACACACAAAATCTTAATAATTATATAATATTATAATACATCAAACGGGTCTCTCGTCGTCTACAAAGACAAGTTTTTCGCGCCAATAAAACGACAATGGCCGTGACGTCGTTCATTTTTTTTTTTTTTTACAAATAACATTAAAACCGTCATTTTGTACTAGTACTACAATGTAATTTGTATAATATATTATAATATACAAGGTGGTGACTCATTAATAATTCACGATAGCACAATGTATCGAGTAAGTAAATCGATTCACCTGCAATTTGTCGGTTTTCAGCACTGAGAAAAAACGTTATGCTTGGTAGAAAAAAAAAGATTAATATCAAAAAAAAATGTTACAATGTCAGGTTAGAGACATTTAACGGTTGATAACGTTAAAACATATTTATCACAAAATGGTCTATGGCTTTTTTTCAAATCCGATTGTGTGCTTAAACGTACGTTTCAATAAAAACAATTTTATTTTTCATTATCATTATTAGGCGCATCGCATAGAATCATGTAAAAGTACTATGAGTAATACGAGTAACAGGAATTTCCCCACAATACAGTATTATGATAATAAAGTTTTATAATAACGACGATAGATTTAATCATGGTTATTGCTTAGTCTATTTCGAGCGACGTCATCGCATGCACATTTTATTTTTTTTTAATAGACAAATTAACAATCAAGTAGTAAAAAACTGCGATTTTGCACTAAAGAAGACCTAAGACCCCCTCGTAATGCATGTGTAACCATACAGTAAAAAAAAAAAGGAAGTTAGGTTAAGTATACTGTATTCCGAGTATAATGTAAAAATTTAACTGGAATAATTTGAGAAACATTTTTTTTTATAATTTTATATCCTCAACTATACGCGAATGGTTTAAATTCCAAAACGGCCTTTGCAGAGATATTTATTAAAGTCGTTTGAATTAATATAGTCGAATTTTGACACAAGGAGAGCAACCACTAGAAAATTTCTTTTTATTTGTATTACAGCTAGTCCAAGCGCATTTGGGAAAAATTGTACCCTTTTTAAAAATGATCCAAACACACGATGAATACAAATGATATGCCCTTCCCCCCTCGAAAATGGTAGGGTCTCCACTACCTGGTACTTGACAAATGGGTATAACATCATGGCGACCTCTCGTCGCGGCTTAAGTACAGAGGATAGGCTGAAGGGCTATATTTTTTTTTCGAGAGAGATTATACCGGGTATGTTGGCTATGCATGCGAAAACCGGTTTACAAAAAAAAAAAAAATTACAACATTTAAAATTCGAAACAGCCGCCAGAGTTTTTCCCGCCAAACGATTATCGTTAAAATGGCGGGAGGTCGACAATTTTTTTTTCCCGAGGGTAGAGATTAATTAAAGCCAGTAAACAACGACAAAGGCGGCAAATAATAATAGTAAAAAAAAATAATTTGTTATCGGCAAGCGGTCTATAACGATTTCGGGAAATCCTAACGACAGCCGTCAATAATCTTGTCGACATAATAATTACCCATCACGTCGGAAGTCGGCCGGGTTTTAAATTTAGAACCGGGTTTTCGATTCGACCGCACCACCGATCTAGTGTCTTAACAAATCTAATGGAAAACAAATTCCTAAAAAATCATAATACAGTCCAAAAAAACAAAATATAGAAATCATGTAATTTCCTACAAGTCCCAAATAAGATGGAAACAATCATAATAATAATAATAATAACAAGGGGGAAACGGATGCGGTATCGGCGCGGCGGCGGCAGACACCGAGGTCGACGTTGCCAAAGGTCAAGCGCAGCCCGCGGGGGGAACCGCCAACGGACTTCCGCGCAGAATATACCCCCCACGTGTGTGTGTGTGCGGTTCCGGCAGCAAAAAAAAAAAACCCCACCAAAATTGTACATAATATACTAGGTAGTACACCTAGTTTGAATGTTAAATGTAATAATTTTTTACTTAAAACGAAAAAAAAGAGCCGAGAAAAAAAGAACTCACTTCTTCGGTGACGGAACGGGGCAAGTGCTTGAGCTGGAGCTGTCGGTTCCGGTGGAATTTCGTCTTGGCGTCTTGCACTTTGCGCTTGATCTCCTCCTCGGGCTCCTCGGCCCAAAAACGTTCGGTGGACGCGGTCGCCTGCAGCACCGGGTGGACGCCGCCGTGGCCGTGGCCGGCGCCGACCGCGTTCCAGTAGCCCTTGTTGGGGTCGTCCAGCTTGCCGTAGTCAAACCGCGGACGGTGGTGTCCGTCGGCGGCGAACACCGACTTGGCCGTTTCGGTGGTCATCGTGTGTGCGTGCTGTTGGAAAAATGCGCGCCTTAAGTCTTAACGGTTTTTTCGCCTAGTCTCGAATCGCGCGCGCGGGGGGGGGGGATGGGGGTGCTAAGAAGTGGGAAAAAAAAACCGCGAACGAATCTTTTCTTACAATAACAATTATTTCGGCGTGTGCATATCGTCGTCGGTTACGTCGCCCGGGGTACGCGTGCGGCGCGCGAGCGTGGTATATCGGTAATAACGAGCAAATACGTTGCGAATATTAATGATGACAAAACATATATCGGCGGCGGTTTTTTTTTTTGAATTTTTATTTTTTTTTTTTTTTTTAACGGCGTTGTCGTCTACAACGTTCGCGGGCGCCCGGACGGATGACAATGAAATAACGACGACGACGACGCGCCGGCCGCCGGGAAGAGCGCGCGCGACGTACGCACGCGCGTCCACCGTACCGGCTCGATCGGCGCGCGCACGCCGCACGCACATGTTCCAACGACTCGGCGTCCGCGTCGGTGCCAATAACCGGCAACGGCTACCCAAACCGGTAGACGCGACAGCACCGGCGGCCACCGGCCGGGGGCAGGGTTGGCCAAAATACGGAGTGTGTGTAATGTTACCGCGTTCTTTGTTTTGTCGGGCGTTCGCTGTGTATGTAAAATCGCCCTGTATGCGAACGGCGTCGGCTCGCGGTAATGGTGTGTCATAAAAATGTTCAATAGAGATTGGACAGGTTAGGTTTTCACATACACGGCGGATCTAAGAACGGAAAAACCAGTACAGTGGGGTCGGGGCATAGTGGGGACGGGGAGGTTTACAGGAATTTTGAAATCTGAAAGTGATAAAATCACTTTCGAAAATACGCTTCCGCGCAAATCGGTAGTTAGTATTTTCAAGCCGGTTCAGTCCAAACCCCGAGCACAGTGTAAACCAGCAAAGTTAGGAAGTATTGAATTGAGGTGCTGTATTTACAAATAAGCATCGAAGCGTTTATTTGAAAGTGATTTTATCCGAGAGGGCTAGACTAGTACAGTAGAGTATTGGCATAATGGAATCAAAGCAACGAGGAGACAGATAGAGCCGTTTAACACGGTTTTATATGAACCATTGTCTGTCGATTGGGCAACAAAACTGACAACAAAAAAAATTGTGTATTGAGGTAATTTTAGTTTTAACTATATTTATATAGTAAAATAACATTTATCATATTAAGTGACAGTTGTCAGTTCTATTACATTATACAGCTACTTGTTCATTTATGTAGATTATTGTACAATTCGTGATTTTTTTTTTTTAATTTTAAATATGTTACTGCTGGCTTACATTTTGATTATAATTGCCTACTATAATCAATAAAACAATTAAATAAAAAATTTGTGTAATACTTGTATTTGTTTTTAGAAATTACACCTTCCACCATGCATATAAAAAGGTTCATGATAATCGCAAAGATTACTTTAGGAGTAGTTTTCGTTACTATTTATACAACGAGATATTTCTCATTGAATTCCAAACCTTAAATTTTATTAATTTTAAGGTATACATATATTGAACTTATTATAAATACTTGATTAACTAATTTGTAGTAACATTTTAAAAAAAAATACACTTTTTTGTAATATATGTCTTTAGAGGATGTCCGGGAGTTCTGAGATTGGAGTAACAAATTGAAGTTTTTACCATCGTGTACTTGTTTGAATATAACATTGGCTCTATCTACAATGTTACGAGGTAAGTTTATACGGTCTGACATCAAACCGATTTCTCTATAGGCGTGCAACAAAGAACGATTAGTCGAGCACACCATCCCTTGGTGGTATTGGCATTGTACTGAAACAAAAATTTAAACATATAATCTTAATGTCCAACAATATTTAGTCGAGTAATAATTTATACCCATTTTTTACTTACCCAAGTTTTTCGACATGGTTCAACGCAATTTATCTCCAAAGATTTTGTTTTGCGTTTTAAGCATTGATTCCGTCACAAACAACTTAATTAAAATCCAAACGTTGGAAAAAAAATCGGAAAATGTATTTTACAAACGGTTACTATGCGTTTTTGGAACATAAAAACGAAATTATAATAAAAGGCGGCTTCAAAATTCTAAGTGAATGAATAAAAATTTTCAATTTTAAGAATTACTATTTATCATTTATGCGCCGATTACAATGGAAAACTTACTATTGGTAAATTACCATCATTTAAGTATAGAGGTCACAGGTCTACAGGAATTATCATAAATAAAAGTGATAAAATTGAATAAAATCAATTTTAATATTTTAGGACTAGGTGTTTTTGTTAAAATATACGCAATCTGCCAAAACACAGTTGTCCGGCGATTAAAAAAAAACTGGTCCTAAAATTACAGCTAAAAAACTTGCACCCCCCCCCCCCTTAGGGGAAAGGAAAATGGGTATAATTTAAATTTGAGACTATTGACGTGTGAGGGCAAACGAAATAAATATTACTAATAAATTTCAACTAGATCCGACTCTTTTTCTCGAAACTATAGCCAGTAAAAGTTCTAACTTAAAAACTCGTATGGTTTTTTTTTTGTTTTTTCAAATTTAACTCCTCCCCCCCCCCCCCAAAGAACCAACTAGATGAAATTTGTGATTTATAGAGTTGCTACTTGAAGGAATTGGTCCAGTATTAAAAAAGTTAGTGGTGTATACAGACACAAAAAAAGCCCCCATCATAGTAAAACCAATATACCTTCGCTGCTCTGCATCGAAGCTAAAAAAACGAAGGAGGGGGTTAGGAAAAAAAAATTCACTTTAATTACATTGGTTTAATATTGTCAGCAATAGTCATAGAGTTGAAGTTAACGTTGTAAAAAAAATACATATTCTAATATATTATACACTAATATATAAAATATATTTATTAGGTATATATTATGTATGCAATTATTAACCTTAAATTTGGCAGAAATAAAAAATTCACACGAAAATTCTAAACCATGTTTTTTTTAACTAATTAAGACCCGTCTAATTGGTTTTTTACATTTTATTTTTTTTTAATGAACAGGATTTTTATTATAGCGTGTACCTTAAAAGTAGTCCTATTGAAAAATGAAATAGTTCTATATTTAAAGATGAACTGCCTCGTGGAGCTAATTTGATATCTGTATCTTTAAAGCTGCACTACAACTAATACAACATAATAGCTAATTTGCTGTTTGTATCTTATACACTGCCTCATTGACCTACTGAGATAAAACACAATAAAACATTTTATTTAGTATTTTATATTTATTTACGTAGGTCGTAGAGTAGGTATTATTATTTTAACTATCAAGTGTCAACTATGCATATAAGTATATTTATTTGGGTTAATTTAAAAAAAAGTTTTTTAGGAAATTTCATAAAAAGAAAACAAGAAAAATTTAACCTGCGTTTAAAAAATATTGGTTGTATTTACCGTATTCCGTAATGAAATATTAAATAACTGTTAAAACAAAAAACAAATAGAAATTTATCTAATTTTTTATTATTTTAAGTACTTTGCTATTAGGGGCGTTTGTATTTTCATATTTTTTAGATACAACTGAAAATAAAGGAAAAGAGCAAGATATCTTTTAGGATACATGAGATATTATATTTAAATAACTATATAAGTGATGACCATAATAATCATAATGATATTTCCAGAAAACATAAAAATTAAAAACAGTTCAAATATATATTATATTTGCATTGGAGTAATTATTTAAATTTTGTGTATATATATAAAGATTAATCATCAAGTTAAGGGTCAATATACAGTAATCAGTATTATGCTTATTTATTAAATGTTCATGTTGATAAAGTCTCTGTTATCATTTGTAAAGCTATAAAGCCGTCGCAGCTAACAACAATGCAGGGGCTTACTTGAATAATCATTTATTAGGTTTTTAAAAGTTAATACTCTTTTAAGATAGAGCTCTGGGAAATACTGAAAAGAGTAAGTGTTTAGTAACGCCGGGTTGGGACAGCTTGTAACATTATATAATTGGTGTTACTGACCAAATAAATTATTAAAAATAATAAATGAATTCGGATTAAAGAATTAATTTAATTATTTCATAAGTTGTATAAGAAAAAAACACTCGACAGTTAATAATAGTAAAAAAAATTCTCTTATAATATTTTATAGCTGTGTGAATTCTAAAACATGCGAAATTCAACATATATGATTCTTATCTATAAAATATACAATAAAAATATATCATCTCTGTTCAAGCAAATCTCATCGAGGTTAATAAAAACCAAATTCATTATGCAAAATCATACTAAGCCAAAACTGTGTTAATTGAATTTAAATTGAAATAAAAGTGATATCACACTTAAAATATTTAGTGATGAGTTTTAAATAAATTCGAAATGAAATTTAAACGGACAAAATAAATCAACTCAACTGATATTTTTCGTTTTTAATTTTAATGTAATTTCATCTAAGAAATTGGAATCGTTTACTGATCTTTTTTGAGTAATTTTTGTGAAGTAAAAAAGAATTGTTTGTCTTCTATCGACTAGTTAATTTTAACAACACAAAAATGTATTTTGCATATTCTATTTTAGTATTAATAAGAACAAACTTATTTAGCAGTGTAGCAGTTAATGTTAATATTATTTATACCTAATAATAATAATATATTATAATATGAATAAAATGATTTTTGCATATTCATTTTGCGAACTTATAATATAATTATAAATGTTTGTATTATTTATAATAATAATATGTTACAATATAAATTAAAATCCTAATATTAATTGTTGTCTCGATAAAACCCAATAATCTTTAAACTTAAAATGTACATTATTTATTTTTCAGATAAGATTCTAATTTTGCGATAAGTTACACTCATAACATTTTTTCTGTATATTTATTTTCTACGAAATTGTACAGGTCTTATTGGTAAACTTTATATTTTTAAATCTGGACTATTGGAATCCAAAATCCGACATATTATATTGTATTTGCGGATATAGATCTATAAAGTTCTTATTTTGGATTTATTTATGCATTTCTTATAATAAAATCATTTTATAATTCCGTTAAATTTTCCTAATAACTTAAATAGTTAAATGTACACATTTACGACTAAAAATTAATTATAACTAGAAATGTATTAAAAAAAAAAAAAAAAACTAGGTATAGCTAAATCAAATAATTAATGAAAAACCATAACGAAATGTGTTCAATATAAATTCAATTTATATATTTTATTATTTAGGAAATGAATAACTACCTATTTACATAAATATCATTATTAGACATAAGTATTAAAAATTTCAAAAATACATTTTTTTCTTTATTTCTGAAAGGACTGGGGGGGGGGGGAATTACGTGAAACTTGCATAGGACATTGTACCTATCAAAAAATATCGTCTTGTTATTTGTACGAGTATTTCCAAAAAATCTAATTAAAATATATCTATCCACTACGAAAATGATTAGTTATCGTTAGAAACAAATTTAAATATAACTGTGAAAAGTGTTTTAGACCGCCACGTAAGTTATCATTCATTCAATACAACATACTTCGAAGCGAGCAGTTATAATTTTGTAAAAAATATTAGCTTTCATTTTATAACAAGGATCATTTGATCGCAAATACCTGTTTGATTTTTTTTTAAAAAATAACAAATATAAGTTAAAAAACGTCGATGTTCCAAATTTGTGTTATTGCACTATGCATTGTTCGCCGTTGTCAAATGATGATCACATTGGAAACCATTCAACATTTGTATGAAACCGAGCGGAAATTTATGAGTTTGGTGTTTTTGGTTGGACAATACGTGCTATACTCACGAGACCAAAGGAGCCCCTCGGATGAGATGTAGATACTGAAGATAGCTGAGCCATTATGTTTTATTCACTGGAAATTCGCTGGCGACCAATATTGTCAAAATGTAGAAAGTTTTATGGCCTTTATACGGAAAACCTATAGCGGTCCTGCCGTAAACCAAACATTGCACGCAATTCTGGTGGACTGTGTACTTAAAGAAAGTCACGCCGAGGCATTTATTCGGCTTATGAACGTTATCTAAAGTGAGGGCATTTCGATGTCAGGTAGATTATGTCATGTATCGGATAAAATAATATTAAACACGCCGTCTAGGTCAATTAATGATCACTTTGATAAGATCGTCGCTGTAATAAAACACATTGAAAACAAGTTTAAATGATTTTCGTATCGACCGAGCCGGTGCGTCGAATAGCAAACGCCATCAAAGTAGTAAGGGTTAGTGAAAAGTCGAAAAAAATTCTTCAATAATACATGTATGGAGTTTATTCAACGATATGATAACATGATGGGATTGGCGAGTACTGGCGTTTGTGCAGACGTTGGACGTACAACGCCTATCAGCATAGTCAATGAAGCATTACAACTTATCTTAGACCGTGCAAACATGTACTGGTGATGGTGACTTGCATGTACTGCATCAACTCTACCAAAGTGAGAAAACGAATAGACAATTATAAAATTTAGCATCGGTTTAGGCCAAAATCAACACACACGTTTATGAACTAATGACTTGAAAAATTTATAAAATTAAAGCTTGCATATCGTTGCATATATTAGTAATAGTAATACATTATATTTGACCTCATAATGTCCTAAAATGTTTGCCAAAAATTCCTTGCGCTATCTTATAATTAAAATCTACGTTATAAATGTATATGCAATTTCAAAAAAATTCAATAATTTCCTTATAATATTTGTATAAATATTATTATTATATTAAAATTTTTCGCTTAAACGGTTTTCATCAGTTAACATAGTGCAATTTTCCCATTTTTTTTTTTGGTTCCTCTTAAAGACTTAATATTTGACTATAGAATTTTGAAAAACAATCAAGTGTTTATGGTATACATATCAAATATCAATATGTATACTATATATAATATGGTGTTACAGCTCCATTAGACCTGTATATGTCTACTGGATTGGAGTCAATAAGAAAATCTATGCTTGCATCACGCTGAACGTTACCGAGGAAAATTTATTCGTGTGGCGTGATCTAGCGGTTGTAAGTGATTATATATTGGAAAAAAAATATTAGGTACTCTAGCGCTTGTTTTGTAAATGAAACAGCTGATAAATAATTTTAATGTACTGGCCAATTGGTTTTTTTTTTATTATTATTATATTTTTAGACATGTTCCTCTGTAGCCGGTTGTAGAGTGGATTTTAGTGTACTTTTTTACTATTTTTTTTTTTTAATGTATTTATTCATACATTTTAAGTTGGTCTTTTTTAATTCTTAATGGTGAGCTATTATATCTACCTACTACCCCTTTACTCATATTCTGATGTTTTAGTACAATGACACTGAAAAACAACCCTGTTTTTCCAACTTTATAAGATCCATTTTCATAACATTAATAACAAAACAGATTGAATATTTTAGAATAATGAATGAAAATTATAATTATTATGTATAAGTCAAAAATATTATATTTTTAAAGTGTTATATTAGGCAAAGCGCAGTGGTCTGAAACTTACAATTTCATTGTCGCACTATTTTTTTTTAAATCCAAAACAAATCACACATTATTTTATAGTATATACAAAAAACAGAATAGTGTAATGAAAATACTGACTGATCGATTCCCAATATTTGATAAAATGTACTTCTTGCTCCATTAAAATTAATTATTAAAAGGATACTCGCCAAAACTTCAAATGAAAATATTTATTCAAATCTAGTCGATAACCCAGTCATTATTTGGTTAAATAACTTTGCATGCAATTGATAGTTGAATTTTGCTGTTTGACTTATAACAATAATTATTTTTTAAGAATATATTTTTTTTACTAAATATTTAACATATTTTTTTTATACAATGAAAAATACATATTTTATTTTAAAAATGTATAAAATAATAAATATTGCAAAAAATCGTTGCTTAAATTTTACTTAAATGGTATTTTAGTAAGTTTTCCAAAACTATTTTGTACCGTTTAACATTATTAATTTATAATAGAATTTTGTTTGTTGTTATAAAAAATAAAATAGACCAGTAAGGTTTTTTTATTAGTTCAAATTATTATTCAAATTAATCAAACTATTAAATTCTATTAGCAAAAATTGTCATACATATGTATTATGTTGAAATTTGTTTTTATTTTTGCTTTTTCTGGAAATTAATTTTTAACCTAATTTCTCTTTAACATAATTTCTCTCGAAGTAGAAAAATTAACCTTTTCCCTTTCAAAATAAAAAATTACAACTTAAAATTTAAAACAAAAATTTTAATTTTAATTACAGCTCATCCAACTATTCAAAAATAGGTTAATAATATAGGTAAGAAAAACTTTTTTACCACCTGACCCCATTTTATTTAGATTTTTGTAGGTGTTACATTTAGATCAAGGTCTAAGTATTAGACTAGGATCAAGTATGGTTAATAGTGGTTTAGTTAAAAGGATCAACAAGGGTCATGTTTGTTGTCAGTATATAAGGCGATGACATTTAATAAATTTCTATGAATTGTGTTAAATAAAAATAAAAATGTTAGTTATCTATAAAATTCCTAACATTATCTTAAGCACATTATTTATTTCTTAAAACTATGCAACAAAATGGTTTTTCCATTTTTTAAATTTTAATTAGTTTTAGGTGTTTAATCGACATTTCGTTGTCGTTGCCTAATTTCTCTTCGCCACTGGTTGATTTCTTCTCTATGTCGCTCCCGATAATCTTTGGTTACGTATATTTCTAAGAGTGTTCTTCTTGTCCACACTGAAATTACAATGATATGAACGAAAAGTTCAAAATATTATTTCAGTTTAATGAAAATAATAACTATTTTACCGTTTGCTAGAAAGTTTGTAATATGTTGATCGTATGCTGAGTACGTATTTCAAACAACTTGGCTGAGAGCTTTTTCAATTTAGCCGTTTGTCTCTTTTGTGCATGTTTATTTCTTCACGGTGCCTATCACGGTATCTTCGATAGCATTCTTTTCTGAGAGCACCTTTCTTGTTCACTCTAAATTTATAAAGGTATTATTTTACTGTTAATAAAAAGTTATAAGTATACCATAATTTAAAAACAAATTTAGTTACTTGTATTCATTCTCATCCATTGTTTTTTTGAAGACCGTTCGCTGTCGTCACACCACTATTGATTGTTTTTTCATTACAAGTCGGTGTATTTTTTTCATCGTATATTAAGTGCTCTATCAACTCCATAATTTCTTCTTTTATTCTGATCGTGGTTCAATTTCAACTATCTTTGCGGTCATACTAAAAGACAAAATATATAATCATGAAATTGTCATATAAGTTTTGTGTTTAAATAAAACTATAAAAATGTGATAAGCGATTAACTAAAGGATTTCAAGTTGAGCTTTGAGTTTTTTGCCTATACTGAATTTAATTTTTAAAGACTGGGCCAAATTTCTGATAATTTTTTAGTTCAAAGTAATATTTCAAATAATTTTTTTAGAGTTTGATGGAAACATTGTTATGTTGCTATACTTTGACTTGAATCACTTGATTGTGTGTCATGCAGTTAACGTTTCAGCTGGCGCGCCATTAGATGTTTTAAATCAAAAAGATTCCTACACCTAATCTAACTGTACTAATAAAAAATAACTACAAATCACAGCTTAAGCTTAAATCTAAAATTTTACAACAAATATCCTGTATCGCACTCCTTAATAATGGATATGTCTTAGGAAAAAATTTAAAAAAATCAAGAAAAGTTTGTGCATAACTTAATGATACAATTGAAACAACATGAATTTAGAACATTTTAATTACTTGTATGCATTTTCATAGATTGATTTTTTAAGATCATTCTTTGTGTTACACAACTATAACTTATTACTACAAGTCGGTGTTGTTTTTTCCTCTAAAGATATTGTGAATTGCTCTTTCAACAAAACCGCATTTTCTTCTTTTATTTTGGTGGCCTGTTTATCAAAATCACCTGCTTCATCTTTTTCGATTTTAATTGTCCCTCTGGAAAAAGACAACATATATTTTAAAAAAATTATATTAATTACATAAACTTTTAAGCGTTGGAAAAGTGTATTTGGGTTGATTCATTAGGTTTTAGTTTACATTTAAGCATAGCTTAATGTATTATATTAAACTTCCACTTATAAATATTACTACAAAGCCTTATTATTTTATTAAATTTAATACCATTAAGTAAGCTTAGTTTTTATTTTAAAATATCAAAAATGTTAATCATACACTTTCCTTTCAAAAATCTAGATTATAATTAACGTTAGGTTAATTATTAAAATTAATAATGGTATGTACGATGCAAATGTTTTTTGTAATAACGTTACTTGTGTGTATTGCCGACGAATGTCGTTTGAGGATCTTGTTGGGCTGTGACTATACTACTATACGATTTTTCCATACTTGTCGTGGGTTCTGTTTTAATTTCAAAGGTTAGTTGCTCTATTGGCTGTTCATTTTCTTTTATTTCAACAATGGGCTCGTAATAATAATCATCTGTTTCATCGATCTCAATTTGAATACTCGATAAACGCTCGTCAAATTCGTTATCATCAAGAGCATAATTCATTTTTAGTCTTTTATTAGGTACATCATTATTTTCATTGACATCTAGAGGTCTTCTTAGAGACAATTCATCAAGTTTTTGGCGTTGACGTCTTTCTTTACACCTTTCAGCATTGGTTTTTGGTTTTCTTGATACATTATTTTCGGTAGAAACGGCTTTTTCCAGTTTTTTACTTAATCGGTATTTTTTACATCTTTCAGCATTGGTTTTTGGTTGTTTCGATACATTATTTTTGGTAGAAGCTGCTTTTTCTAGTTTTTTACGCAATCGGCTTTCTTTCTGTCGTTCTGCTGGTGTTTTAGGTGCAGATTTGGGAAGTCCTCTTTTTTTCCTGTCACGGTACCTCTTCCATTTATTGGGTTTAACAGATTCGGAACTTAATGTTGTAGTACACGCAGACGTAGATGCATTGGTACAGTGAAGTGTACATTTATCCGAAGAAGAAGAAGGAGGGCAATCTGGACCCGGACAGACGATCACTGGTGCGCAGACAAAATCATCTGTTTCATCTATTTCAATTTTAATACTCGATTTGTTAACTCTAAAAGACAAAAAAATAACTTAGAAGACATAGTAATGTAACTGGAATGTAGTTACATGTACAACAAGGGTCATGTTTGTTGTCAGTTAATCAGGCGATGACATTTAATGGACTTCTATGAATTATGTTAAATTAAAAAAATATGTTGGGTATCTATAAAATTCCTAACATTATCTTAATCACATTTTTATTTCTTAATACTTTGCAACAAAATGGTTTTTCTATTTTTAAAATATTAAATTACTTGTAGGTGTTGCCGTTAACGTTTGTTTCATCGATAGGATCGTTTTGGGTCGGTACACAACGATTATTTGATTTTTCATTGTAAGTCGGTTTAGTTTCTTCCTCGTAGGCTTGGGCGAGTCGATCTTTGGACTGTTCGTTTACTTTTTCAACTTTAATCATGGTCTCGTTACAATAACAATGTGTACTTCAATTAGAATTTTTGACTCGTTTTCTTACTCAGACTCCATAAACTAAAAACAACCTAAATATTTTCAAAAAAATGTTAGAAATAAAGATCATAATCATAAAAATTTTTTTTTACAAGTTTTTTAAGTCTGTTAATTTTTGCGTAGCTTGTTTAATAAAATACACGTTAACCCAATACTTACGGAGATAATTAGTTTTTAGTAGAAAGCCTACATAATATGAGAGCGTTCAACATGCTAATGCGCACTGCACATTGTTGATTGATAGTATGTTAAAATGAGAATGTCATTTTTTGATCAAGACTTTTTTTTCGAGTCAAATGGAAACTGGATCAAGAATGGTAACTGCCTTTTAAAAGTAATAAATAAGTAATTTAATTTTCCATCTTGGCACAGTTAATTTGAATATCATAGGTTATACTACTGGTGGTCGAACAATGTGAGTTATAAAATAAGGCTAAAGTAAATTGATTGAATTGGTAAAAAGACTCACAGTACAGAGATAGTTTAAAGAGAAACTATAACACATTTTAAACAGGAAATAAATATAAGAATCCTAAGAAACAAAATAGCGACCCATACAGTGTTTTAATACTTATAAATATATCACTACGGCTGTCGATAGCTCTAGTCTCTTCACATATCTTAAATATATTTAAGTGATATATATATATTTTAGAGAAACAATTTAAGTAGTTTTAATTACATAAATAAAAGTATAAAAACAAAGATGATATTAGTACTTACAATTTTACACAGCTACAAAAAGGTCGTCGGCCAGGGCTCTATCTAGAAGCCAAAAACCACTTACACCTACAAAATCAAACAATTTATTTAACTTTTATATTATTTATGTACACACAATTGTTTAGAAATCCAAATAAATTATAGGTTGTTAAGCTTTGAACTATAAATAATATTTTATATTACAAAAAGAGATGATACAAATAATTGATATATTATTTGTTTACAATAGGTGATAAAAGCAGCATCTGCGCCCAGCGGTAGTTGACTGGAGGTAAGTATTTCTATTTATTATAAAACGTATCTTCTTTGAAACAACTGATTTCAATATAATGTGTTGCTTGCGTTTGTTTTGTGGTATAAAATTTTTACAAACGGCCAATAGCACTTGTCTCTTTACAAATCTAAAATATACATAGTTTTTTTAAAAAAAATTACTTAAATTTTTAGAAAATTCACACAATTTGCAGATAACCAATTGATTTATTGCATGGAATAAATAATAAAATCAAAGATAATATTATTTATTTTATTAGACACAAAACAATCTCAAAGCGCAAAGAAAATAAGTTCATAAGTGACCGTTTTAAAAGTAAATTAGACAATAGAAATAAGATACTCAGTAAAAAGGTATTGCCAATTTTAAAGAAGGCTAATCATTGGCGAACCTTATTAGTCGTGTAATAGAGGAGTTTGAGCCATAGTTTGTAGGAAAGGGATTAGAAAGGGAACGAGAGAGTGTGTGTTAAGGTAGGTTTGCGGAAATTGATCAATGATAGTACAGACGGACCATCTATTTTATTAATGAGAAAGGAAATATTAGCCACATGTCTACGATTGGCTAATGTAGTCGTGAGGAGGACAAGGAATATTATTAGTATATATGTGTCGAACCGAAAGAAATGTTTTTGAACACGCTCAAACGAGTTACTAGCAGCAGCACTTAAAGGATCCCAAAGAACTATTCCATATTATAATTTCGGACAAACAATGGCACAGTAGAGTGCATTAAGACGAAATACATTGAATAAAGGCAAGTACTATGAGTGATCTATGACATATTTTCAGAATATGGTTGTTAGGACGTTAAGTACGTGTAAGTGTAAAACCTAAGTCACTAGCAGAAGAAACGGGGAGGTTCTTTATGTGGTAAACAAATGGTATTAGAGTTGGACGGCGTGAAAGAGACATAACATGACAGTCGTTTTTGGATTGTTTGGTAGTCGGTACTTACAATTATTACTTACGGCTACAAAGGCAACGGTGGCCAGTGTTCTCTGTTATCAAGACGCCAAATCAAGTTCCAGCTATTAAATCACACACTTTATACTATAATGTTATTACTCATCCTATGAAAAATAATTTCAAACCTTTTCAAATAATACGTGGGTTGTTATACAAATGTTTGGCTATACACACAATTGTTTACAAAGACAAGCTATGATTATTATATCATTTGTATGTAATAACTGATAACAGTGGCGTCCGCAATGGGCGGCTGGTGGTAGCCACAGTGGAGGCAATACAAGATGATCACAAATGTTAACTGATATTGAAAACATTTTTAAAAAAAGTTTTAGGTATTAAGGTGTGAAAATTAGACAGTAGGTCTAATGGAACTATAACACCATCTTATATATAGTATACATATTGATATTTGTTATGTTTTCTGTAAACAATTGATTGTTTTTCAAAATTCTATAGTCAAATATTAGGTCTTTAAGAGGAACAAAAAAAAAAGGAAAATTGCACTATGTTAAGTGATGAAAACCATTTTAAGCGAAAAATTTTAATATAATAATAATAATTATAATATTTTTACAAATATTATAAGGAAATTATTTTATTTTTTTTTAAATTGCATATACATTTATAACGTAGATTTTAATTATAAGATAACACAAGGAATTTTTGGCAAACATTTTAGGACATTATTAGGTCAAATATAATGTATTACTATTACTAATATATGTAACGATATGCAAGCTTAAAATTTATATTTTTTCAAGTCATTAATTCTAAACGCGTATGTTGATTTTGGCCTAAATCGATGCCATTCGTAAATTTTAATAATTGTTTACTTATTTATTCACTTTGGAGTTGATGCAGTACATGTAATTCGTTACCACCGCTTGGCCATATTTCCGTTTCTATTTTAAAGTACTTGTTTACATTTTTGTAGATATGTTCTAATGCTATAGTGACTCTGTAATTAGACGTCATACGTGCGGTGTTAACATAGTCTCCAGTACTCACCAAGCCCATCATGTTACCATATCGTTGACTAAACTCCATGCATGTATTATTGAAGAATTTTTTTCGTTCTTCCAACGGTTTGTCGTTCATCCTTAATACCTTGATGGCCTCTGCTATTTGACTTACCGGCTGAGTCGATATTGTGTAAGCTTTAAACTTGTTTTCAATTTGATTTATCGTATAATCGACGTTCATAAAGTAACTTATAATTGCCTCCGATTGCATATCCTCTATGAGTTTTTTCGATCCAAAACATAATTTACTCAACATCGTTATGCCTTCACTTTCGATCACGTTCATAAGCCGAATAAATGCCTCGACGTAACGTCCTTCTTTTACACAGTCCTCCATCACTTCGCGCAACGTCCGGTTCAGGGCATAATCACAGGTAAAGGGTTCCCGTATAAAGGCCATAATACTGTCTACATTTCGATAATTGGTTGCCAGCGAATTTCCGGTAAATAAAATTTTATAACTCAGATCATTAGTAACCGGAAAAGGTGGCGTCACGCCGAATTTTCCATAATCCACTTCAACGTTCGGGATACTGACACATCTTCTCCGAGGGACTCCGATCATGGTAGTGTAGCAAGTAGTTCCCAAAAACTTCAATTCCATAAATTCCGACTCGATTTTACAAAAATGTTTAATGGTTTCCAGGGTGATCATCGTTTGACAACAGCGAAGACTGCACACAGCAATAACACAGATTTGGAACAAAAACATTTTTCGGGGTAATAGTCAAACAAATCAAAACGGGTATACTATATGAGAGATTGTTGCTCGTTATACTATGAACACTAATATTTTTCACAAAATGATGACTGTTCACTACAATGTATGTTGTATGGACTGAATCGTCGTTATGACTTACGTGGCAATCCAATGCACTTTTTACAGTTTTATAAAATTTCTTTGAAACGCTTATTTTTTTGTAGTAGGTACGTATATTTCTATTTTCTTTGGCAGAAAACAAATAGGAAAACGATTTTCATACAACGTTTGACTTCGGTGACCTATTTTCGTTTCGCGCACTTTACCACTCCCCGTGCTTTTAGAAATATAGAAAATAATTTCTTATTTGTATTTTTCGCCGAATCGTTTATATCCAAGCATTCGTGCAGGCGTATAAAGTTTTTATTATTATTTAAATTATAAAAAAAAAAAAATGTATTAACGCACTGTGTATAATGATGCGACTCGAGCAAACTGGTTGACTGGTCACTGCGGCAATGTTTGCTAATGTGGAGATACTGAACTTGACTTTGGTGCAATCTTGCTATGCTAGCTTATACCATAATTAGTTAGACCGTACCTATTTATTTTAAGCTATATATATAAAAAAAAAATCGATAATCAGATAATGTTGACGGGGAAGCGGGGTGTGGAATACGGGTGTTAATTATTATGTACATTTGAGGCTTTTGCCCTACGCCAATAATTATTATACACACTATGATAGAGGGGGGGGGATAGATATTTTTCATAGCTTGTATACAAGATAATTAACAGATAGATCGGATTTCACACCCATGCGGAATAACGGTTTGAAATTGAAAAAATTCTGTTTGATATATCTTATAAACGATTAATTTTCAATTTTTTCCCAATCTGTAATTTACAGAAAGTTGAAACTATATTATATGAAATTATATAAACTCAATTCTAAATGGTTCTCTGGACGTCCCTGATCTCCTTGCTGCCATTCCTCTCAGAGTTCCATCTCATTCTTCCAGAAACCAATCCCGTTTTTATGTCCCAACTTACAAGACCTCTTATGGGCACAATCATACTCCACATCGTATGCTCAGAGCTGCAAACAACCAATAGTTCTTAGGTCACTATTTCTACTTTACTTTTACTAAAATACTACTAACCATATTATATGTATACTGAATTATTGCTATCTAAATATGATTTTAATATCTTAATTATGTAATTATGTAACTATACAATCACGTACACATATTACCATATTTGTATACTATGTAAGATTGCCGTTTGGCGTTTAATAAACAATAATAATAATAATATATGTTTTATATCAAATATATTATTATCCTATGAAAAATAATTCAAAAATAAGTCGTGCATTGTTGTAAACATTTTTGGCTTTAAAATTGTCAAAGACAAGCTACGATTATTATATCATTTGTATGCAAATTGCAAAACTGATAACAGAGGCGCCCGCGGTGGTCGGCTGGAGGTAGACGCAGTGGAGACAATGCAGGGTGATAATTTTATCAGAAACCACTCAATATTATATCAAAGTTGGATTTTATAAGAAACTTGTTTATTATTTTTTTTTTTAATGTATATATACAATGTAATCTCAATTTTTCATAAATTTTTTTGTTGTTATTGCCCCACACCCATTTTGGTTCGGAAACTTAACGTTTCCGCACTACCATTTAAGTTTCAAAAGTTGCTATAAAAAAAAACTGTGTTGAAAGGGCGGTAAAAAATAAAAAAACAAGCTTTTCTTAAAAAATCCAAATTCATCGAGTTAAATGTTATGAATCGTATGTGTCACACACAAAAATTAAACTAGATTTAAATTACAAAAGAACTTAAAATATAAAACATTATCTGATAAATTTATTAGGGACTTTGTTGAATAGGGCCCACGCTTTTCTTTTTAGTAAAAATTAAAGATGTTTAACATTATTTAAAACTGTAGTTAATTTTCGGTTGTTTTCAAAGTAATTGGCGTTTTAAATAAAATATGCTACAGTTGATTGGTAAATTGTTCTTGTAATAAAATTAGATTTTACTTTTTAGTTCACTTTTTACTATTTTTATTTAGAAACGTAAGTTTTTAAAAAAGTTTTTTTTAAATCAATTAATTTTATTTTTTTACTTTTAATCCTCTTCTCTATTATTTTATTTGACAAACGACATGTTCTACCTAACATGTTGTTATAATATGAACCCTAATATTTTTCACAAAATTATAACTGCTCACTACAATGTATGTGGCATCGATTGAATCATCGTTATAACTTACGTGGCTATCCAAAACACTTTTCACAGTTACGTTGAATTTGTTTACAACGATAATAAATTTGGTAGTGGGTAGATTTGATTATTTTGAAAAACTTGATCAATTAACAAGACGACATTAGATAGGTAGAATGATGTTCGTTTC